ACTCTACCACTTGAGCCACAGCGCCACTTCCGGCTTTTTTCTTTTTGCTTATGTGGTGCTGAGGAATCAAACCCAGGGCCTCTGGCATGCAAGGCAAGCGCTCTACCACTGAGCCACCTTCCCAGCCCTCTATAATCAGTTTATATATTGGCCTATAAATGGAAATAAACACTATCAATCTTTTTAAAAAAAAAAGGTTTCAAAAATGGTAAAAGAAAATAAATAGTGGGCTGGGAAGTTGGCTCAGTAGTACAGTGCTTGCCTCTCATGCATGAGAGGAAGCCGGAAGTGGCACTGTGGCTCAAGTACTAGAGCACTTGCCTTGAGCTGAAGAGCTGAGCGACAGCACCCAGGCCCAGAGTTCCGGCCCCACACGGGCAAAAAAAAAAAATATATATATATATATATATATATATATAAAGTAGATTAGATACTGTCACGATCACTCATGTATAGTAAGCAAATATAAGTTAGTCACAGTGCAATATAAACTTTTGGATAGGGAGAATTTTCCAGGCAAGAGGAGAGACAGTTTCTAGTGAAGATAAAATAAGTAGGTAAAGTTCTGGCTGAACATGGAGTATGGGTAAGAGGTGAGAAAACCAGAGATCAGGAGATGGATAAATGTATAGGTGAGGGACTTATGTGTCAGCTGCGGAACATAATAAATTTGGCATAACAACTACTGGCTTAGTGGAAGAATAACCTCTTACTTGCATTTCTAAATGCAGACAATATTATGTAATAAAGATTTTAATTACTGATAATAATAAAGTCATTAGTCATTTCTGGAGATTTATCCTGAAGAAAAAAGGGTAAAATGATATATCTAGGATTTTTGTTTAGCAAACAAAAAGGATAAATGGAGCAAATGTGACAAAAACCTTGACTATTAATGCTTTTCAGTGTACTAGTCTCTATATTTTGTGTGTTTGGAAATTTTCATGATTAGAAAAAAATTCCAAATAGATGAATGGATCCTTTAATAAATTCATAATATGATTTGAAAAAAGATTTCCAAATATATTTGCTAAATAAATTTGCCTTTAGCTCTGCCTTTATAACGATTGCTATTTTCCACCCCCAATCTAGAATCCTGCCTTTTCTCTTTTATGTATTTCTATTTAATTATATAATGAGCACCAATACGTTATATACTAACTTATTAAAATACTATAACCTAACATGGGCTCTACTACTCATTTCCCAATCTTTAAACGTTACTACATTCCACAAGTCAAAATTATTGGTTTCTAAAGGCATGGCCCAAGTGGTAGAGTGCCTGTGTAGCAAGCACAAGGCCTCAGTACTCTCAAAATTTTTGAGTTTAGAAACACAGCCAAAAAATGCAAGTAATAAATGAAAAATCATATTCTTCTTCTTAAACTAGGGTTACAATAAGCAAGTCTTAATATTTCTAAAAAAAAGAAGACTAAAACACAAACAGCATATGTTTTCTCTCATATGGAAGCTAGATATAAAATACAAAATACATAATAACATATACAAGGTTTTATGCATATACACGTAAACAAACTGACAAAAGAACCATATACTCAGGGGAGGATCCCAAAGGTATAACTCCTCCAAACAACTAATGACTGATTAACAAAATGTATACCAGGAAGCAGAAACGTGTTTTAGAGGAAGGCAATGTGAGAAAGGAAGGGTGAACAAATGCAGTCATTATATTCAATGTACATTATGTAAAGACTGAAGGAACCATGTAATTTGAGGGTAGGAATGAGGAAATGGGAGAGAATGATGAAAGGGATGACACTGATCAAGATTCATTGTACTCATAACTAGTTAATAATTTTTTTAATCTAAAACATATTAAATGGAATTGAAGGTGTGGCTCAGGTGGTAGAGTGCTAGCCAATGAGTAAAAGCAGGTATCAGATACTGAGTTTGAGTCCTGGTCTCAGACAAAAAAAAATCTATTACATGTGGTACTTTTAATAATTAAAACTTTAAAAAATATATCTTGTTTTGTTTGTGGGGTTTGTATACTGGTACAAAAATTATTCCTTTTATGGCATTCATTACCCTAACAACAAATAGCGCATGATCTCTATAATGAATTTTTTGTTTGTTTTTTAATTTTCAGTACTGGGATTAGAACTGAAGGCCTTGTGTTTGCTAGGCAAGTGCATCACCACTAGAGTCACATCCCCAGCTGTGACAATTTATTCTGATCGCAAACATTTGAACAAACTGGCAGAAATTCTACCTAAGCAAAATCCAGAGTTTAAATCCAGATTTCTGTGAGGTTACATCTGAGCTATTCACTGTTTTTTAAGTTTTTTGGTCATGCTGGACTCAGGCTCAAACCCAGTGTTCCAGTGTCATGTGCATTCTAGGAAGTGCTCTCCCATTGAGCTACAAATACAATAATAAATATGTTCATTTTTAATCACATGTTTTTAGATACATGGGCCTCATTTTAAATTCCACTTCAGGTTAAACAAGAGGGTAAATCATTGTTAGGTTACTCAAATAATTTTTAATTTTTGTCAGTTTAGATAGACAAATAGTAATTTTATAACCTAAACTCCCCTAAAAACGTGTTATTAAGAAATGTGTATTTCTGGGGCTGGGAAGGTGGCTCAGTGGTAGAGTGCCTGCCTTGCATGCATGAGGCCCTGGGTTCAATTCCTCAGCACCACATAAGCAAGAAGAAAAAAGCCAGAAGTGGCGCACTGTGGCTTAAGTGGTAGAGCGCTAGCCTTGAGCTGAAGAGCTGAGGGACAGCGCCCAGGCCCAGAGTTCAGGCCCCACGACTGGACCCCCCCCTCCAAAAAAAAAAAGAAATGTGTATTTCCTTAGCTTGTAATCAGCCTTACTGTGTTTTTATCTTACATTATTTAATAGGATTGTAATAACTTTTCAGATAAAAAAATACAAAAGTCATAAAAATCAGGAAGATTGCAATACTGATGTACAATGACCTAATCAAAGATATTTTATTGGGAAATAATCACAAAATTAATGAAGACTTAAATATATTATTTTTCCCTCAAAAATAAAGTTTAATGAGAGGAAGGAAAAATTGAAATATCATTGAATGGCAACTCTGAAAAAAGACACCAATACAGGCAATTTTAAAATAAGGCAAGTATGACAATATACAAACTAGATCTTCTTACCTTGTATCAATTACTTCTGGATAGGCACATACTCTCAGAGTTTTTGAATTGGAACCAACAGCATATAAACTACCACTTGGATGAAAAGCCACTGCTCTAACCGCTTGTGTATCTTCTAGGGTGTTAATACAAACAAACTGCTTTTTTGACTTGTCATCCTATGAAAAGAATGAGATTGGAAGAATTCATCTTTATCTAATTTTAAATTCATTTGACCTGTTCCTGTTTGATCAACCATTTTCTAAGTGACAAATCCAAATTAACCCTATTTTATGCTTGAGCATTGGTAAATGAAAGTCTGATAGTTTATACATATTTGAGTTTTTACATTAAAACAAAACATATGATTAAGTATATATTTCTATATTAAGTTCTCTTTAAATATCAAGGAAGGGGAACTCATGAATATTAAAATTGTAGTAAAAATGACAGAAGATCATTTGTGTTTTTCAAAGAAGCAAGTATCTGGGTAATTACTTGGGAAGCTGAGTCAGAAGATCAGCTTTAGACTAGCATAGCCTGAGGAAGACCTCATTCTCAAAAAGAGAAAAGCTGGGAGCTGGTGGCTCAGGCCTGTAATCCTACCTTAGAAGGCTGAGATCTGATGATCATAGTTCAAAGCCACCCTGGACAGGAAAGTCTCCAATCAACCACAAGAAAACTGGAAGTGATGCTGTGGCTCAAAGTGATAGAGCACTAGCCTTGAGCAAAGAGAGCTCAGGGACAGCACACAAGCCCTGAATTCAAGCCCCATAGCTGACAGTAATTAATTAATATTAAAAAAAAGAAAGGGAGGGAGAAAGGAAGTGTGAAAGTAAAACTATTATTTAATTAATTTAAATATTTTAAAAAGCTTACCATCATCTGTGGAAACAAATATTTCAGTATCTCAAAATGAAATAGTAAAATGTCCTTTGAAAACTATAAAATTTATTTTAAATAGAACATCTAGGTTTCAAGTTCATTTTAAACTGTCAGTTTATCTATCCACAGCAATCTTCTAAAGAGGCAAGTAAGTTGAGGTAGTTTACTTGGGCCAGATGACTATGATCTGATTTCCTAACTTCTATCTTCAAAATCTTTTGAATTAGGCATATAATTAAAGCCTAATATTAAAAAATAAGTGTAATTCAACAATATAATTCAAGAATAAAATTTTATTTTCTGAGTTAAGATATAGTTTATTGTATCATTTATAATGGTAAATTCCTTAAAAAGAATATTTAAATTACTTTGAGTACTTCCTACTCTAAGACATCAAAACATTATAATCTTGTATTAACTAATCTTCTATATGAATTTTTCCTCATTAAACATTGTGTCTTATTAAGTTTTGGGAAAATTAGAGTATTTTATTCTTAATGAATAAGAATTTACTCTTAAAAAATCTAAAATACTTATAATGTTTATATTTGCCTATTATATCATTGCTTATCTGTTTATTGAACTTGCTAAATACATGAATCCATAAGATATGTTCTGGAAAAATTAGAGTATTTTATTCTTAATGAATAAGAATTCACTCTTAAAAATCTAAAATACTTATAATGCTTGTATTTGCCTATTATATTATATTATTGCTTATCTGTTTATTGAATTTACTCAATACATGAATCCACAAAATAAAAAAAAAAGCTTTGGAAACTCTTGCTGTTGGTGTCATTTGAAATCACACTATTATTCATGCATGATACTTGGGCCACAGAAGTGACTGGACCTAAGAACAAAGATCTTCAGACAAACTGTCAGCAAAAGACCAAATCCTATATTTTGGATATATGAATGTCAAATATACATGTCAAGGAAAATCACATGAGCTCTGGTTATAGTATAAGAGCTCTAGGACCAATGATGAGGACTCTTCCCACCTTAGCTTTTATGTACTGGAGCAAACCAGAATCACAATATGCTTATCTTATATAATTGAATTCTGTTATTTATACGAATTTATTTAGCTAGGAAAATATAACATTCATTTCCCATTACTACATACATAGAGGAGATAAAAGAGAAAATGAATAATTGATTAAATGTCATATTAACAAGCTACACAACTTTATTTTCTTCCAATGTTTCAATTTTTTAATTAGCAGTAATTTATGAAATAGATGATTGCACATGAAAATGTTGATTTTTAACTTTTTATTTTATTTTATTTTATTTATTTTGGGTCCGGTAGTGGGGCTTGAACTCTGGGCCTGGGCACTGTCCCTCAGCTCTTCAGCTCAAGGCTAGCACTCTACCACTCGAGCCACAGTGCCACTTTCAGCTTTTTTCTTTTTGCTTATGTGGTACTGAGGAATCGAACCCAGGGCCTCAGGCATGCAAGGCAAGCACTCTACCACTGAGCCACCTTCCCAGCCCAACTTTTTATTTTTAAAAATCAAAAGCCAGGTGCCAGTGACTCACGCCTGTAATCCTAGCTACTCAGGAGGCTGAGATCTGAGGATCACAGTTCAAAGCCAGCCCTGGCAGAAAAGTCTGTGAGACTCTGATCTCCAATAAACCACAAGAAAACTGGAAGTGGCGCTGTGGCTCAAGAGGTAGAGCGTTCACCTTGAGCTGAGGAGCGCAGGGACAGCACCCAGGCCCAGAGTTCAAGCCCAATAACCGAAAAATAAATAAATAAATAAAATAAAAAGATTAAAAAAGGTAAAAATCAAAAGAACCAGAAACACTGGAATTATATTTCTTTGTAAGATAAATATTCCTATATACTTATGAAAATGATTGGTGTTATTCACTTATATTACCTATGTGATACGTATATGCATCTGAAAACAACAAATATGTGGGGGAAGGGGACCAGTACTGAGGCTTGAACCCAGGGACTGGCTGCTATCCCTTATTTCACTCAAGGTTAGTGGTGCTCTACCACTTAACCTACAGCTCTACTTGTGGCTTTTTCGAGGTTAATTGGAGATATTAGTATCAGGGACTTTACTGTCCAGGATGACGACCTCAATCCTCAG